TGGCTTTTGTTGGTTGTTCTTTTGGTCTGTGCCTATTGCTGTTTCTTTTCTTTTTTTTTTTTGAGACAGAGTCTCGCTTTCTTGCCTAGGCTAGAGTGAGTGCCATGGTGTCAGCCTAGCTCACAGCAACCTCAAACTCCTGGGCTCAAGCGATCCTCCTGCCTCAGCCTCCCGAGTAGCTGGGACTACAGGCACGAGCCACCATGCCCGGCTGATTTTTATATTATATATATTAGTTGGCCAATTAATTTCTTTCTATTTTTATGGTAGAGATGGGGTCTCGCTCAGGCTGGTTTTGAACTCCTGACCTTGAGCAATCCGCCCGCCTCGGCCTCCCAGAGTGCTAGGATTATAGGCGTGAGCCACGGCGCCCGGCCTATTGCTGTTTCTGAGTGGCTCACTTCTCCAGGACTCATCTGGGATATATGAGGCAAAAAGAAAGTGCGAGAACTCACCCTCATGTCATTTCTCTGTCTTGAGATCTCTGCCTTCTTTCCCCTGCCTTTCAGTCTTGTGATGTTTTAGTTGCACTTAGTGGGAGGAATAGGGAAAAATACCTCTCCGTCTTCCCAGAGGCAGAGTCATCACAATTGTCATTTAAATATCTGATTTTTATTAAGGGCAGTGCTTTTATTTTGAGTCATGTTTTGATGATAGTCAAGATAAATGTAGTGAGGTTTTTATATAGCATCATAGGACCCTGGGATACTTTGTATAATCCACATTGGTAATTATTTTTATAACTTTGATTTCTGGCTTTTTATCTTATTTTGTTGGCTAGAACTTATTGATGCTATTGTCTGTTCCTCCTGTTAATGTTTACTGATGCTTGGGGCTTTAGGGTTCAGTTTCAGATTGGATGTGAATTTCAGGTAGTACCTTTATAATATGAATAAGCTACTTTGTCTTCAGTTTTTCTGGTTTTTAATCAGAAATGAGTGCTCAATCTTATCAGATGGCTATTTTGCGCCCTGTAGGAAAGGTTATGTACTTCAGTCTTTGGTTATTAATGTGTGTGGCATTAGGTGCTATCACTAATCTAACAGACAGGCCTAATGCTGAGCCCTTGGCTGGAAATACTGTCCGTTCTTAGGATCTTTGTGTGGCAGTGGCTTAAGCAAGCTAGACAGGTCTTTTTCTCCTATCTGCACGTCCTAGGGTGGGCACTTCATGGTGGTGTGGCAGGTCTGATCCACAGCATGCTCAGCAATCCAGGCTCCATCTAGCTCACCTGTGTCCCTGCTGTGTGGCTTTCATCGGCATGAACCAAGATGATAGGGATTTGGCTATTATGACTGTATTCCCAACAACAGCAGGGGAGAAAGGGAATAGGAACAAACTGTCTGTCAGAAATATTCCAGAAGCTTCCACATGACCTTTCTTATGTCTCCTTGGCCACATCTGGCTGCATGGGAGGAAAATGGGGTCTTTGTTCCAGGTAGCCAAGAACCCTGATGAAAAGAAGGGTTCTCTTGTGGTGCCAGTGGTGGAACAGGGATACTGGGTATAGCCAGGTGACAGCCAGGTGACTCTGCTGCAGCTGCCTCTCGCCACGGCTCAGCAGTCCACATGGGGCCCTCCAGCCCCTCCTGCTGGGGCCGTGTGCCGGGGGTGTGTGCATGTGCCGGGGTCTGCCCAGCAGCCCTCCTCTCCCTCCCTCTGGGAGCAGCCCTGTGGCCCTGGGTGCTCCCCCATCATTCTTGGAGGTCCCTGGAGGTGGGTGTTCTTCCACATTTTGCAGTTCAGTCCCTCAGTCTGTTGCCGGCTCAGGTTCTCTGTTCTAATTCCCAGTCGTGCAGGGCAGTCAAGGTGATGGAAAGACCAGGGAACCCTGAGAGCCACCCTTGGGCTGGACCCCAGAGGGACAGTGGTTTCAGGGGCCGTTGGGAGGGGCCTTTTGAGACTATGGACTGTAAAGGAAGATGGGAGATGGTGCTGGGTGAAGGGCAGGGTCTTACCTGCTTGGTTTGGCTTTGGGGAGATGTTGACATTTTTGTAGGTGCAGGGCAGAGACGTAGAAGATGTGAGGGGAGGCAGCGGGCGGCGTGTGAAGGGCGGGGCTTGTGGTGCTGGCGGGAGGGATGGCCAGGCGGTCACCGCTGTGGTCCTGTGAGGCTGAGGGCTGGGCCTGTCAGTCCTGTTTACTCTCCAGATTTTATTTCCCCTGCGATGGCTTTGAGACAGCTTAACTCATAGCCCCAAAGTGGCAGAGCCAGGCTTTGGCACCAGGCAGCGGCTGCTGGACACCCAGGCTCTCCTTACCTGAGACCCCCGTGTGGGTCTCCACAGGTGTCTGTCCCAGTGCCAGCCTAGGTGCTGCCTGCTGAACCCCGAGTCCCAGCACCTGGTTCATTGGCTCGAGGGGCGGAGGGCTGTTGATTGTCCCCCTGACTTGGGGGCTGCCCAGAGAACCTGCAGAACCTTCGCCGAGTTTCCTTAGGGTCCTGTCCCGGACGGCCTTCTGTGTTCGTGCAGCTTCTCCTGCTTTCCTGCCTGGCCAGCGCCTTTGAGCGTTGGGCGGTGACGGCCCCTTGGAACCTCCTGACGCACCCACGTTCCTGACGCTGATCCCGGTTTGTCAGCGTGTGGCTGGAGCTGGCACCTGGCCTGAGTTCCCTCCACCCCAGCTCGGCTGGCTGCTTGCAGACGGCCCCTTTCTGTGGGCTGCGTCTCAGGCCTCATCCCCACAGACCCCTCAGTTTAGGAACGGGCCTCACAGCCTCTTGGCTATGAGGCATGAGTGTGCACGAGCCCCCACGCCTTGTGCGGTGGGGCCTTTCTGTCCCTGAGGCTGTCCCTGTGTGTCATGGCATGGACACTCCTGTGTCCTCTCCTTGTGCAGCCTACTGTGGACAGTGGTCACAGACCGACCTCTTGCAGCGTCCCTTCCTCTGCCCTGGGGCCACCCAGCTGGGAGCTGTGTGGGGGCCACACGGGGGCTGCAGTGGAACTGCATGGGCACCTCGTGGGGGCCATGGTAGGGGCCGTGGTGGGGGCCGTGTGGGGTGAGCTGGTGTTGGGGGCCGTGGTGGGGCCATGATGGGCGCCGTGTTGGGGCCGTGGTGGGGGCCGTGATGGGGGCCGTGTTGGGGGCCATGGTGGGGGCCGTGGTGGGGGCCGAGTTGGTGGCCGTGGTGGGGGCCGTGATGGGGGCCGTGGTGGGCCGTGATGGGGCCGTGGTGGGGCCGTGTTTGGGGGCCGTGATGGGGCGCTGTTGGCCATGGTGGGCCGTGATGGGGCCGTGATGGGGCCATGGTGGGGCCGTGATGGGGGCCTTGATGGGGGCCATGGTGGGGCCGTGATGGGGCCCTTGATGGGCCATGGGTGGGGGGCCGTGATGGGGGCCTTGATGGGCCATGGTGGGCCGTGATGGGGCCGTGATGGGGCCATGGTGGGGCCGTGATGGGCGTGATGGGGCATGGTGGGGGCCGTAATGGGGGCCTTGATGGGGGCCATGGTGGGGCCGTGATGGGGGCCTTGGTGGGGGCTGTGGTGGAGCCTTGCTCAGGACACACTACCAGGCAGCACGCTCTGGGGCCAGGATCCAGGCAGGCCTCACCTGGATGAGCGAACTCAGCTGCACCTGGCATCAGGCAGGGCTGGGCCTGGCCTTCCTCCTCCAACGTTTATGTGGACATAACTTGCCTGGGGAGACTGTTGGAGTGTGTTAAATAGCTTCTGCCACCATAAAATGAATGGTGCACATGAAGTGCTGTCTGTGACGTGGAGCAGAGGGGCTGAGCCCCCTACGGCCACTTCCCAGGGGTCCTCTGGGCTTCCAGGATCTGTGTGCTGTTTCATTGTGGCTGATGGACTCCGAGCACAAAGGCGTCTGGGCAACTGTGCTTCTTCGGGGAAAGTCACATGGGATGGCAGCCGCTCCTGGGTCAGCGCTGTGCCCTCAGACACTGCCGGGTGGGCTCATGGTCCAGGAGGGGCTCCCAGACTTGAGAGCTGCACCAGCAGGCCTGGGCTGGGCAGGGGGACAGGCAGGAAGGGGCGTGTCTCAGGCCTGGGTGTCTGCATGGCTCCCGCTGAGGGCGAGTTGCTGGTGTCCGCCAGGACAGGTCGTGGGGGAGGGGCTTGGAGCCCTGGGAGGGACTGCGAGAGGCATCGAGCTTCCCCTGCTCTCTCCAGCCCAGGTCCTCACTTGTCAGTAGCAGTAGGATGTCCTACCCAATTCCACTTGGGATTTAAACTCTGCTCTTTTGTTTTCCTTTCCAAAGTAGAGTGGGGAGGAGTGTGTGTGGTGGGGGACTGAGGGATTAGTGGGGGTCTCTCCCAATATGCTTATGGAACATGGATTCTCAGACATAGGGGTGTACCTGCTGGGGTTGAGGTCAGGAAAGGTCCACCTGGAAGATGAGAGTCCAGTTCTACTTATGCCTGCAGTCCAGATCAGGAAACTGAGGCCTGGGAAAGGGAAGGGATTCTCTAGGGTGTCGCAGCTCATTTTGAAAACCCCAAATGTTTATTCTTTTCTCTTGGGGGAGAAAAGAAAATGCTTGAGCTGCACACATAAGGGAGAAATAAGAAGACAAAGATCAAGGAAAAATGCCACATGGTCCCCTTGCCCACTTGTCTGTGTAAGAAAAAGGGAACCCTCTGTGTGCCCTGGGAGGTCGGCTGGTTTCTGTAAGCCCATCGGGAAAACTGTCTTGGGGGTATTCAGCAGCGGGGGTGGGGAGAGAAGCCAGGTGGAGACCGGGTTGGAGATGGGGCTGTTTTCCCAGGCGTGGCTGTGCTGTACACAGAGAGCAGAGAGGGCCGGGTTGGGCCGGCCACGACTCAGCGCCTCGGCCCAGGGCGTGGCGTGAGGGATGCCGCGGGCAGGGCCGGGTGTGCGGGGTCTGCAGGACTGGACTTGTGTTGGCTGTGCGTGAGGAGGCAGTTCTGTCGCCCCTGGTTGAGGGCAGCTCTTCCCCACCAGCCTCGCTGGGGAGGACATGGTGAGCAAGAGCAGGCCCACCATCCAACACGGGCTCTTCTCTCCTGTCCAGGAGCGGCTCCTCATGAGCCTCCTGCCGCGGAATGTTGCCATGGAGATGAAGGAGGACTTCCTGAAGCCCCCCGAGAGGATTTTCCACAAGATTTACATCCAGAGGCATGACAATGTGAGGTAAGGCTGGTGCTGACCCAGTGGGCCTGGGGAGCTGAGGCGTGGAGGGGAGGGGAGAGGAGGGGAGGGGAGAGGAGGGGAGGTGGGAGGTCATGGTGGACGTGGGGAAGGAATGGGGCAGGTATGGAGGTGATGGTGGAGGTGAGAAAGTGGTGGATGGAGGTGGGAAGTAAAGGTGGAGGTAGGACGGTGATAGTGCAGGCCGGAAGGTGATGGCAGAGGTGGGAGGTGAGGGGTGTGGACGAAAGGTCCCAATTGTGAGGAGAGGAGAGGGCAGGTGCTGTCAAGAGGCTCAGGTGGGCAAGTGCCTGGTAGGGAAGCAGGTCCCATATGTAGGGGGCTTATTGGCTTCTTGGGTGATGATGCATGTCACAGTTATCTTTCCTGTTCCTTATTTCAGTACACTTACATATCCTGTGTTGACGGAAGAGGGTCAAAACTTTGTCCCTAAAACCAGGTTTGGGGAGTGACATTTTGGGGTGGGAATTTCCCATGTGGAAATAATGGCGGGGCATTATTGTAGCTGGTGCCAGGGTCTGGGACAGGCATACTACCCTTTCTCACTCTGGTCATCTCACGACAGCTCTGGGAGGTGGGGTTGCTGTTCCCATTTTATAGGTGAGGAAACTGAACCCTCAGAGTGAGCCGACTTGCCATAGACACTTTGAGGTTTGCTTGTTTGCTTTAAAGATTCTGTTAAAAAGTATTTATTTCATTAAATTGTGCATTCCTTTTTAAAATACTTTTTATTGAAGTATAATGTTCTTAGAGTAGTTGAGTGTTGCCTATTTGGGATTAACCCTTTTCATAAATGTCGCTCAGGTAGGACATGTTGTTTGAGGGACCTGAAGCACTTGCCTTTCCTGCTGTTCTTTGCTGGCTCTTCTGGGTGTTGGCGGCAGGCCTCCCTGCCCATTGGGCCCCTGAAGACACAGAGGTTAGGAAAAACTCATTCTTCCTTGTGTTGAGCACCACAGACTGGTCCCCTCAGAGCCTAGTACTGACTTCTTTCTTGGAAATGAGTCAAGGTTTGTGGATCCATCAAAGTCCGAGTCACCCCTGTGTGCTGAGCCAGCATGGCTAATCACTGCCTGGTTGAGAGGTCACCAGGTGCTGTTCAGGGCATAGCTGTGTACTCATTCACTCCCCACTGTCAGGCTGTTGAGTAAGGACAGTGTTGTTCAAGTTCAGTAGGGGAGGATACTGAAGCAGTGTGGGGTGAAGGACCAGGTGGGTGGAAAGTAGCTGGAGAGCCAGCACTTGAGCCCAGAATCATTCCAGAAGTTGTACTCAGAACCTCTCTACTAAATATTTGGTTCTCTTCAATATCATCCCACTCCTGTGAGCTATTGGTATTATCACCTCCATTTCATAGGTGAGGAAATTTGGGCTCAGTAAAATGAAGCATGTTTGTAGGAGTACCTGGACAATGAGTGGCAGGCTGGGACAGGACCTGGCATTAGCTGACACTGACATCTGTCTTGACTTTTTGTTGTTACTGGATAAGGACACGATACAATGACCCAGTCCCCTGCTGAGAAGAGCAGACCACCAGAATAATCCAGGCAGTGCCTCAAGGGGAGCCAGAGCCTTTCCGCACTGCAGGGGGGCATCAAAAGTCAAGGACCTTTTGGTGGCTAGAGCTCAGAGCTCACAGAATGGGCAGATGGAAAATCCCAGCTGTAAGCTTCCCCCTTGGGAGGAGAGAGTTGATCTGTATGACCACTCCCCCAACTTCCGTGGGGCTGCCCAAAGAACAAGCATCTGTCTCTCCAGTTCTGGATTTCTGACATGTCTGGCACAGGCTGGCTACCCAGGGGAGAATGGAGGCAGTGGCTTCAGCTAATAGACACCAAGCCTCCCTCCATGCACTTTGCTAAGCACAGAGTGAACAAACAAAAACCACAGCTACCTTCTTTCCCTTGGAGAGAGAAAGAGTTAGTACAAGCCACCAGAACCTCTGGCTGACGGGTGGGAAGGCCAGTCCATAAAGACAGTGAGAGGTGCGTGCTTTGTCTAATATCCAGACATGGACATAGAGAGTCCAGGTACATGAAGAATCAGACAATAAAGTTCCAAACAAAGGAATAAGATAAATCTCCCAAAACCAACCTTAATGAAACAGTTTTGCTTCGTAGAGAATTAAAAATAACTCTCATAAAGATGCCCACTAAGATCAAAACAATAATGCATGAACAAAGTAAGAATTTCAACAAAGAAATAGAAAGTATAAAAAGTACCAGACAGAAGTCATGGAGCTGAAGCTCATGATCACTGAACCGAAAAATTCACTACAGGCATTTAGCAGAAGACTAGATCAAGCAGAATAAAAGATCAATGAACTGGAAGACAGGTCAATGGAAATAATTTAGTTAGAGGAGCAAGAAGAAGAGAATGGAAAAGAGTGAAGAAAGCTTACGGGAATTAGGGGAAATCATCAGTGGACCAATATGTTAATATATGTTATGGGGTAACAGAAGAAGAGTGAGAAAAAGGACCCAAAAGCTATATATGTATATATGATATATGCACACACTGAAAATTTCCCAAATCTGATGAAGGCAGTGGACATCTAGATACAAGAAATCCAGATGATACCAAATAAGAGAAACCTAAAGAAATGCGCACCTAGTCTGCATTATCATCAAATCCTTAAAAGTCAAGGACAAAGGGAGAATATTGAAAGCAGAAAGAAAAAAGCATATCATATATGATACAAAAGCTTATCATATACAATAGAACCTGCATAAGATAATCAGTGGACTTTTCAGCAGAAACTCTGCAGGCCAGAAGGAAGTGGGATGATATATTCAAAGTGCTGAAAGAAAAACTGCTGACCAAGGATACTATGCCTTATAAAACACTTCTTCAAAAATGAAGGAAAGATAAAGTCTTTCCCAGACATTCAAAAGCTGAGGGTGTTCAAACTACTAAACCTGCCTTATAAGAATTGCTAAAGGAAGTTCTTATGTTAAAGCAAAAGGATGTTAAATAGCAACATTATAGCATAAGAAAGTATGAAACTCACTGGAAAAGATAAATATGTAGACAAATACAAAATACTGTATTACTCTAATTGTGGTGGGTAAATCACTTTTTATTCTAGCATAAAAGTTGAAAGTACTGAAAATAACTGAATCAAAATATCTTTTTTTATATTTTAATTTTTTTAAATTTCAGCATATTACGGGGATACAAATGTTTAGGTAACCTATGTTTAGGTTACCTATGTTGCCTTTGCCTCACCCGAGTCAGAGCTTCAAGCCTATCCATCCCTGAGATGGTGAACACTATTCCCATTAGGTGTGAATTTACCCATCTCCTCCTCCCCTCTCCCACCTGCCTGAGACCCAATGAATGTTACTACTATATATGCACATAACTGTTGATCAGTTAATAACAATTTGATGGTAAGTACATGAGGTGCTTGTTTTTCCAGTCTTGTGATGCTTCAGTTAGTAGAATGGGCTTTAGCTCTGTGATCATACAAGAGGTGCTAGATCACCATTGTTTTTGTGGCTGAGTAGAACTCCATGATATACATATACCACATTTTATTAGTCCACTCATGTATTGATGGGCACTTGGGTTGTTTCCACATATTTGAATTTATGAATTGTACTGCTATAAACATTCCAGTGCAGATGTCTTTTTTTTATAGAATGTCTTATTTTCCTTTGGGTAGATGCCTAGTAGTAGGGTTGCTGGATCAAATGATAGTTCTATTTTTAGCTCTTTGAGATATCTCCAAATTACTTTCCACAGAGGTTGTACTAGTTTGTAGTCCCAGCAGCAGTATATGAGTGTTCCTGTCTCTCCACATGAATACCAACACTTATTGCTTTGGGACCTTTTGATAAAGGCTATTCTCATTTTAGTTAAGTGATATCTCATTGTGGTTTTCATTTGCATTTCTCTTATGAATGGAGATGTTGAACATTTTTGCATATGTTTGATGGCCATTAGTCTGTCTTCTTTTGAAAAGTTTCTGTTCATGTCCTTTGCCCACATTTTAATGGAGTTGTCTAATTTTTTTCTTACAGATTTTCCTGAGTTCTAAATAGATTCTAGTTGTCAGCCGTTTATCAGATGTGTAGCATGTGGATATTTTCTCCCATTCTGTAGGTTGTAGGTTTGCTCTTGTGATAGTTTCCTTGGCTGTGCAGGAGATTTTAATTTGATCAGGTCTCATTTATTTATTTTTGTTGTTGCTGTGATTGTCTTTGGGGTCTTCTTCATAAATTCTTTGCCTAGGCCAATGTCTATAAGAGTTTTTCTAACATTGTCTTCTAGAATTCTTATAGTTCATGCCTAGGCTTTAAGTTTGTTATCCACCATGAGTTGATTTTTGTGAGAGGCGAGAGGTGCAGATCCTGTTTCAGTCTTCTCTGTGTGGCTATCCAATTTTCCCAGCACCATTTATTGAATAAAGATTTTTTCCCCCAGTGTATGTTTTTGTCTGCTTTGTCAAAGATCAGATGGCTATATGAGGATGGTTTTATATCAGGGTTCTCAGCTCTGTTCCATTGATCTATGTCTCTGTTCTTGTGCCAATAACATGCTATATTAGTTACTATAACCTTTAGTATAGCTTGAAGCCTGGTAAATTGATGCCTCCCAATTTGTTCTTTTTGCTTAAGATTTATTTTGCTGTACAGGATATTCTCTGGTTCCATACAAAGCATAGAATTATTTTTTCTAGATCTGTGGAAAATGATGTTGGTATTTTAATAGGGATTGCATTGAATCTGTAGATCACTTTGGGTAGCATAGACATTTTAACAATATTGATTCTGCTGACACATGAGCATGGTGTGGTTTTCTACCTGTTTATGTCCTCTGCTGTTCCCTTCCTCAGTATTTTGTGGTTCCTCCTGTAGAGGTCTTTACCTCCTTAGTTAAATATATTTCTAGGTATTTTATTATCTTTATTGCTATTGTGAAAGGTACTGAGTCTTTGATTTGGTTCTCAGTTTGACTATTTTTGGCATATAGGAATG